CAAACCACCGTTCTCCCAATATGGACACAAGTACACCCTTCCTATCGTGGGAGCAGGAGAAGACAAGCAGCCATCTATCTCGTGCCTTCCTGGCGAAGAGCTCCGTTCATGCTCCGCTACACCTGCCGCCCCTCCTCCCTCCTCCTCTCCCTCCAACCAGTACTGGCAAGTTTCACAAGGACCACTGGCTTCTCCCAGAACGCTTCGTTTACCCAGTTCTTCTGGTCTTTCTCGCCAGCTGGAGCGCCATTCCTCGCCGAGACGCGACAAGAACACCCTCAAAGATATGACCTGCCGTCAACCCACCAGCCAGCCCTGACTCACACCCTAAGAGGGCCTACCTACGCAGACCGACAGTGTAGAGCCTCACCCGTCCTGCCCCGCTGCGCCGACAACCTTCGGCTCGCAACCATCTCCAACTGCTAGCTGGCATTGCGCGACCTGTGTTGCCACCATTTCGATTTCTCTACAGCCTTCAGTCTCTACAGCCTTCATATCGGGTTGGGCGACTTCTGCGTTCTGCTTGCGCATCGTGAGGACGGACACCTCGCTATCGATCGAGAATGCTCAGCTCACCCGGCAACTCAGTCTGCGCCGCCTATCCAAAACCATCAACTTAGGTTCTAGGTGCGCGCATCGATCATTCGTTATGGACCTTCCTCGACAAGCTTTGTGGCCGATTGGGCTCCTGGAACCGGACCCACGTCCCTCCTTCCTCGTGCAGCTTCCAGCTTCGTCCGATGCTATCACCGATGCGACTGTCGTCTACCAAAACCCAGCCTTGGCTTCCCGTGGTGATCTGCCGAGCACCGTTGCGCTTCTCCCGGTACAACATGGCGAACCATTCTGGTCTTGGATTATCAACCCCGAGGTCGACGGTGCAGGCTCGCCCTCGTTTTCGTTCCGGGGCTCGATCTGGACGAAGATCGTGCTCCAGACCCGATGGATCATCGTCGGCAGCAACGAAATCCACCCACCAGAGGCGTCTGCCGTCCTTGGCGCCCCCTCCATCTCCCGTGTTCAGTCATCGCAAATGCGCCTGGACGGCCTCGATCATCTCAACCGCCCCATGACCAAAAGCCAGTTCACAGAATCTGCGCCTACGATGCCCGTCGCCAACCCACATCTTGAACCTGATAAGCCACGACCTGCTAGGGTGCTGAGTGAACCGAACCAAAAGGCTACCGAGATAGCGCACGGCCAAGAGTCGTTCCTCGAGATTGTAGAAGCTACGGACTGGGATAGCACACCTCTTGGACCCATGGACAGCTGGCCACCTCTCCTACAACAAACGTACAGCCAGATGCTTTGTAACTCTCAACCGACGGCCATATACTGGGGGCGAAGACTTCACAACGGTCTACAATGAAGCATTTAGTTTGCTCGTCGGTTCGCGGCATCCTTCTACTCTCGGCAAGCCCCATGCAAGATGTCTTTCCCGACATGGCGGGCCAGATCCAGAAAGCTCATGGATACGTCAGTAAAGAAGCAACGCGCCAGCAACGAAGATGAAACGCGCTTCTTCGTCGATACTCCCAGCCGCCCTCCGTTAAAGACTAACCTCAAGTGGTTCATTCGTGCCACTGACCCAGGA